TGATTACACTTTTTTTTTTACCAGTATCAGTGTAACGTTAATCAACGTCGGTTATCTGAAAGTTTAAGGAAAGTCAGTATCGATAGCGTGGCACGCGATCGTGCTACTGACCCGCAACAATTTTAAGCGAGTCACGCTGTGTTTACGAAGATGTCGATTGGTTCCGCGGCGCGTGGCGAAAAGAACCGGTATCCTGGTGAATCGGTTCGCGATCAAAATAGCCTTTGCGAGGAAATTTCGCTCGTTTCACAATTATGACAACGATGACGACAAAGTGGTTCGATGTTTTGTTGCTACTAGCACACAGAAGGCGACAGACAATCTGACTTTGCGGCCCCTCGTTATCGCATCCGCAAACACCCTCGCGAATTCTCCATTTCCGCTGTTCGATTTACGAATCTCGTGCAGAATAGTCACGTCCTTCACAGACACGATTGATATAATTGCTTATCGTGAAAAAGAACGATCTGCTATCAAATATCTGCTACCAACTTATATAATCGACTACGTCGAGCCAAACTTTGTTCTATGCTTGTCCATGACGATTTGAAACATTTATGGGAAAATAGATTGACCGAGAAGGAAATATTTCGAATTTATATGTGCTAATTCTAATGAAATTTATCTGAGAGATAACCGAAAGAATATTTGACAATCGTTAATGCTAAAGAGGCGAAAACAATTCATAAAGCAAAATCTTGGGAATTTAGAAGGTGTAAGAATAAAATTTTGTATTAAAAATTCAGTTTTAAATAAGGTAGTTACTTAATTATTAGTAAAAAAATTTAGTAAAAAAGAAAATATTCAGATTCATGGAGATTATAAAATAAAAGACACTAATCGGAGCGAGTATGGTGTAATAAGCAGATAGAAATGGCTATTAATTTTGTGAGGTAGGTGATTTTGAAATTTCTGACACTTCCTGACGAGGTTTTAAGCTAAATTATGAAGATCGGAGAAAATATATTTAACATACTTAGTGAATATTTTAATTTCATATGATTCTAGTGTTGCAACGAATATCGATTCGATAATGAGTTAGAAGCTAAAAATAAATGTACATTAAGATACATTGGAATGCGATAAGGAAATTGATAAAGGTGGTCTGACAGACAGACTTTGTAGAAGGCTTGACGCCTTGGCAATTTTAATGAAACCCAATGAACAATTAGCGTGACAATTAGCTCGACGAACTAAACGTACTTTATAAAATCACAGGAAGTGAATCGATAACACAGAAAAATCACCAACGAACAATCATAAATAGTATTTCGTTCTCTTCCCAACATGCTAAATAATACAGTTGGTCTCGAACAAAGAGCAACCAACAGCAACGGTATATAACGTTATCACGATCATAATCCATCGTCTCAGATCGTTTGAACGTATCGAAAAAATCGTTCTGAAATCTTAAAAATCCGAGGGAAATAATTTCCTCTGACATTGAGGTGTTCACTTATCGAGAAATCCCATCGCGTTACGTGTGCCCGCGTGCACGTGTCTCTGTGCTTTCGTGACTGACGTTTGTGCACTTCTCGGAACGCAGAGTTCTTTCACTTCGACTGCTCGGTACGCGTTTACCGAATGGACGCTTTCAGAATTACAAAATTGCCGATATTAGTCGCGTCTTCGCACCTGCGCACTCTATAAATCCATCTCCATGCGCTCCATTTCTCTACGAAATCCAACAATTTTCCACGTGTTCCTCTCGTCGTTCTATCACACTTTTCGCTGATAAAAGTGAAAACGTGTATTTCTGACGCGATTTGCAAATACGTTGCTCGTTGTAGACGAAGAAGGAGGAAAATCCGAAGGGACACGTAATTGGATATCGATGCCCGGTTCTTACGTTTTCGCCGATCATTCGATTATCACTCACTGGAATCTTTTGTAACTTTTAAGCAGCGATGACTATAGATGTAAGTGGGTTTTTTTCTGATGCTTATCAAACGACCCTGTTTCAACACCGAAAGATAAAATCGTTTTTATTGCTGTTTGGTTAAGATTTTCACACGAATCGATCTCATCTTTCCACGACATATTATAAAACACTCAATTTGTAAATTCGATGGAACGAACGATAATTCTTGCGACTTTGGAACGTGATGACATTAACGATGGAATGAAATCGTTATGGTAAGCTTGAGACACGAGATTCGCTCGTGAATTACAAATAATGCACGGCCACAGTTTTCCGGCTATTGTTATTCGATTCATTTTATATTTTTTTAGTTACTTCGCTTGGTTACTGACTTTTTTATTGTGGTACGTCGCCGTAAGGTCATTACGCCGTTTTAATAATTTCTTTCCGGTCCGGCGAGTCGACATTTGCACAAAACAAGCAATAAATCTAGTTCGATGAACCGGCGGGATAGGGTGAATGCACCCGATAATCCGATAAAAAATGATAAGAAATGCAATTCGTACCATCTACGTGATAAGCTGAGTCACCTTTCGGATGTGATTCTCAATCGTGCTGCTTTTTTGTACGTTAATTTCGTTGCTTCAAGTTTTACGCGAAATTAAGTTACCGGACAACGGATGTAGATTAAATCTACATTGCATGTAGGAATCATTACAAAAGAAATTGCACATGTGATTGTTTTCATTAAAGACAACTGCAATATCAGAAATCTTGCAAAAAGTCTAGTTAGCATTTTCTACGATTATTTATAAAGCTTCACCGTCGCTTTTCTTAAGTATATTTAATCGAATAAAATTCTGACTCACTTTTTCGTAAATCTTGTAACATGTTACGACAATTTCAGTACGGCATTCTAGACAAATAGAAATACTGCACGAGAGTTTAATGTTACTCTGACGTAAAATATAACAATAATTAAGAGGAGAATACATTTAATAGCATGTTTAACGATTCGTTTGAGAAACGTTGAAATACGATTAAAGTAACTCTCGTCCACGATTTTTCCTGACCCTGTCCGCCTTCAATGACCTCGCTGAGAACTTTCATTCGTATCCTTGCATCGTGGCCAATTACTCGTCCAACTGGCGAGTTTTTGCCTGGCAGCCAGTATGAAAGACGCTTACTAACGTTGCTCTTACTATTAACCTCGTAAACGACAGCAGCGTGTGTATAATGGTAGAAAGGACGAAAAACGTGTTTTCGTTGGCGATCGACGGGTATCACCGCCAAAATATCATTTTTGGAGCATGACGTAGAGCTTTATCGTTGAGTTACCGTAATCACGCAGAATACGTACGCCAGTTCCTTTATCTCTGTTATTTGGTTTCTGTTACGTATCGACTGATTATAACACTCGTGTGTGTAATCTTCAGAAGGAATTTACTCGTGGGAGTACCGTTGGAGAGTCATCGACAATTTTTCGAGTGCAAATGCTTGAAAGTGAAGGGTTACTATGAAGTAAAATAAATTTTCGATTGTGATTTGATGAGGTTCAGCGAATTTCCATGGATTTCGCGTTTTCTCATTCTTTTGTTATTATTTCGAGAAACTTTCTGCATTCAAATTATCCAAACTAGCAATGTCTCACAACATACTAGTTTGATTATTTTATACAAAAAATTCAAGGGAAATTCAAGGTCGAATTTTAAAATGACAAAACATTGCTGACCCAAATAACTACATCCTACTATATCATAATATCGCCGTTAAAGTTCCGAAGTTCACGGAAAATGTGACGAATCTTGCAATAAACGAATGTCCTACTTTCAAATTATTCGGACGTCAAACTTCTTTTTAAAATCAAAATCGAAGAAACACAACAGAAATAACGGCTGGCTGATCTCTTAACACCCTTATATCGATCGAAGATTTCTCTTTGAAAAATGAGCACCGGTGGCGTGCCCCTAAATCCCAACGAATTATCCTTGCTTCACGGCGTGTTGCCAGAAGAACGAACGCTGAGAAATCTGCGACGAGCGTGATCCGCCGACAAAAGGGGATCATCGTGCGCGCTGGAAACAACGTGGTGCAGGTTCCTGGACCGGTGACCAGCGTGTCCGCCCACGCGAGGATGCCGGTCGTTCTAAAAATATACAATCCAGTCGGAGCATACGGTGCTACCGGTTTTAAATCTCGCCCGCTACCGGCCAGGAACCGATTCAATGCTTTCCGTGGAAATAAAACGAAAGACCCGGGCCACACCGACGACAGAGAGCCACTTCCGAACCGCTAAACTCGTGGATCGTTAACGTTGATCGCTATAAGGATAGTTAGACGACTAGAATCGCTGAGCTAAATATCATACGATTCGATAGATTATTGCAGGTTGAAAATCACAGTGGTGTAAGGCCACTGTGTATTTTCATAAAATAATGTTTTGCGTTTATTATTATAAAGAGTTAATTAAAGTCTTTCAAGCGATGAAAATGTATTGTGACACTAAGTTGCGACATATTTAATTATGGAACTAAAGGGATGATACCTTTGAAAAATAAATTATGTATTTAAATTGAGATTTCTGTTAAACAGACAGCTAATTAGAATAGTTTGACAATAATTGAAAAAGAAACGGAGTAGAAATGATCTTGCAGGCGTTTAGAAGAATTCAAGATGGTCTGAGTGAAATATTATTAAAAAAATGTATTTGATAAAATTAAGGAAGAATTTGATGTTTTAAAGTATATGTTATGTCAGAATTTAAATAAGAATGTGCAATAAACAAGACTGATATAAGGATTATTTGAGATTTCGGACTTTGATAATTTGATAACTCTACTTACTAAGATATAGACAGAGATAGGTAATTTAAAGTTATGACCTCTCATTTCTGAAAAAATGTAACTTCATAGATAAATTAGCTAAGTATTACGCAGAGCTGAAAATAATGCAGGTCCAATTGGTCAAAATAGATTAGGAGGTTTGTGGTCAATCGATAAGTGCTATCTCGTGTACATATCATGTACACGTATGGTTTTCGTTCCAGCTCTGCATATAGTAGTTTCCTTCAATACTTCGTTACTTAGTGATACTGTTTTACTTATCGATGAAGATAAGATAAGCTTATACTTCCTTATAAACGCGAGGAAAGGAGAGGAGGCAGTTAGTAGTGATCGAAGTTACTAGAGTACAATTTGATAAAACAGTGAATCTTATCGCTTTCATGTAAGTTAGCAAAATCAATCTTTGAACTCGTTTCTTTATCGTATTAGATGCTACATGAAAATGAAAGAATTACTTTTACATTCAGTTCACATTTAACTAACAAACTTGGACTGTCGGGCGGTATTTGGCTGGTATTCAGAAAAAAAAACCTATGAAGAAAAGGAAAGTGGAAGAAAGATCGTCCGAAACAAAACGTTAGTAGCACTATTGCTTCATGTATCTATCATTATCTTCGCTCTCGATAATGTTTCACCTTACCGTTTCGCCGAGAAATCAAGTTTTCCAGCGATGTAATCGTTCCCATCCTCGCTCGAACGCAAAAAGATCAAAGAAATGATGGCAATCACGTTACGAAGGTAACTCGGTAGCCGCATCTCGAGATTACCAGCTAATTAAGATCCCAATAAAATCTAATCTACGCGCCAGTCATAAATCACCGTACGGACAGACAAACGAATGAAAGGGTTCGCGACGTGCAAAAGTAGTTCGTGCACGCGTTCTCGATCGACGTTTCGCTAATCCAGTCAATTAATATTTTTCTGCATCCGCGCAGGAAAATTTGATTAACGGTAGAACCCGTGCATCTGCCTAGACTTAGATTGTGGCTCGCGTGAAATTGTTGCCTATAAACTGTAGCTGGGATTAAGGATCGATCTGTCAATATCGATGTGGCACTCTCCATCAGGATAGACCCGCTTCTCTTCTCGTCGACTCCAGTTTCTATGGTCCGTGGCAGTAATGTCATCTCTCTGTAACGCCATCCCCGATACACGAAGGACTCACCTGGCCTTTAACTGCCTCTCTCTCTCGTTCGTGTTCTCTCTCTTGATCTCTCTCATCTGATATCCAATGACAATGTCTCTCGGCGCCGTTCCCGCCATTAATCTATTCTCCTCTTGTGCCTTGTCGTCAACCTGCCCCGGTGAATGCAGATAATCCACGATCGTTCGTCGATTCGAGTGACTCGCTTGCTCGATCATGTTGGAATCGGTGCATCGTACTTAGGATAATGCGTGTACGTATACTTTGCCCGTTCGACGGTTTCGTTGGACTCTTTGTCTCGCGAGAACCGATTTGCAAGTCGGATCGCGAAAAATGATTATTCGGTGCCAACAAGCTATTGTGTGACTACTATGCGTAATTCTGGAAACTTGTACGGATAAAGAGTATCTTGATTTAACGTATTAATCGATTGTTTACGATAATATCTTCCTAATGAATGTAGTACTTAGTTCTAAATTTGACTTTTGTTTTGAATCTTGATCTTTGTTTTTGTTTCAGTTTTTTATAAGCCCGTCTTAGATTAAGAGACATAATCATTAACTATTCTATATTACGTAGTATTAGCATTGTATAGGTCAGTACCGCAGAAATAAAATGTTACAGGTTGTAAGTGATAATATAAGATTGTTTATATAAAGCATTTAGTAATGTCAATTTCCGATTCTGCATTTTTTCTTTTTTTTTTTCTTCTTGTTTGATCCCATTGTCCCCGTGCAGAGTAATATGCCGATACTTATTTATGTGGTTTCATTGTACAGTGCGCTGGGTGTATCGTATGCATTGTGAATCAGCGCTCACAGTAGGAGCACATTGTATTCTTGTTTCTCCTCCTGTTTACCCATTCATTGGTCGCATAAAAAATTGTCGCTTAGCCAAGCATCACGGTCCCAGAGATATCTGTCGCATCTCCGCAAATTATCGCGAAATTAAGACACCGTGGCGACTTTGATTTATTCATCGTTCAAAGTCGGTATTTTCACGTCCGTTTTATCTCGTGTCTTAGTTTCGATGGAAAAACTGAGTAATTATTAGGAGAAGAGTGGAAGCAGGAACGTATTTCATAAGTTAAATTATACAACGATGTTACTCGAGCTACTCTATCGCGATAATGCGAGTCGTTCTCGATAACTTTTCACTGTCTATAATTCCATTTCCCGAAAACGTGAATGTATTGGTAAAACTTCATCAACTACCCCCGTGAAGTTGCTCGTAGAAACTACGCAGTTACGCTCGAGTGTCGCTCCGTCGTGTCATACGCGCCTCTACGAACCGTTCCGAAGTGCATACAACCGTGCCGCTCGTTTGTATGGGTTCCCTCTCACTCTCTCCTGTCGAGATCGCATTGCTACGTGCTACACGCTTTGCTTTGCTTTGCTATGCCTTCGCCAGCGTTTCGCGTCGGATGCTCGAAAGGAAAATCTTTTATCCTTGAGAGAACTATCGTTTTTACGATACGACTAATATACAAAACCGGAATAAAGAGAACAAAAGAAAAACGACAACGTTAGGAGAGGTTACAAACCTGGAGAAATGGCGCGCAAAATCTTCTGGCCGCGCTGCATTCGCTGACTCTTTCGAGTCAGTGCATCGTATCGATGTTTCGTCGACGCGTAAAACACGGGACATCATGCCACGCTCGGTTTCGAAAGTTTTGATTTTCCTTCCATCTTTTTTACCCTACTTGACCCTAACCGGTAAATTTACAACGCTACGGACCACGCGCAACCACACGATCACACATACGCAACGTTCACACACACACAGCCCCACTAGCGACTGTTCTTTTCTCCCTTTCCTCGCATCGTTCGAGTCCGGATGCGCGCGCATCGTTCCCCCACTGCTGGAGCAACCGGCCGCGCGAGGCTGGCGGAGTGGGGTAAATCGGTTGCCGCCGCGAGGCAGAACGTGCGGGCCGAGTGGCTGAAACGAAAGCACAGAATCATTACCACGCTAGATCTCGAGGAGTGTAGACGTGTTTCTCGTTACCTAAGCTCAGTCGAGAGTTCTCGTGTCGCATTACTTTCTCTCTTGCACTTTTGCTACGTACACACGTGTGATAGTCGCGTCAAAGAGGACAGTCGCGAGACGCAACGTGTTATATAGCATCGACCGTGTGCGTGTGTGGGAATCGAAGAAACGGACGAAAGAAGTCAATTTTCCCTGTTCTATTCCCTCTCGCGCGGATATTTCGCTTGTGCTCGGTGTAAGAGAAAAGCAAATTGACGCTTTTGCCAATAGACTCAGTTAGTGCATCGTGTGTCGTACATTTGACCGGAGGACATTGAACTTTGTGCCATCGTCCCACGAAACGTTTTCGAACTGTCATCTATCCGTGCCTCTCTGTGGAGATCGTCGGACGTGCGAGCGCGCCCCCATCTATCTCAAACTTCGATATTCCAGTGAATCTCGACCGTCCGTGAAACGGAGTTCGATAATCGATTGAGTTCAACGGCGGACAGATCTCACTCATGGAAAGTGATCCATTCGAGGATCCACCTTATAGGCGTTGCAGGCGACGTGATTAAGACACGCGCGTCGGATAAAGAAAGAAATCAAACTAATCGCACGCACAGTCGATCGTGTACTTATTTATTTGCTCGATCGCCGTAAATCCGCGGATCACGATTTTCGTCAACTGGTTGGCGCGTTGCGTTCTTCTCTGGCCACGTGCGTTTTCTCTACGGACAATCAGTGACGACGATAGAGACCTTCGTAACCGCGGCGACGAACATTGAGCGTGCGCCGTTGAAGCCCGAAGGCACGTGTGTCGCCACGAAAATACCTTTTGTGTCGAGCTCGGAAAAATTCGTGCTCGCGATCCCCTTTGACTCTTGAACCGTCGATATTTTTTCGATTTAACGGCGATTCTGTGCCTGCGGGGAAAAGAGAGTAGCGTAAAACAGAATCGAGAGAGAAATTTCAAAAAGTGGTAGTGCCTGATCCACTGACATTGGTTCGATTGCAGTGCCGAGACGAGAAGAGAGCAGCAGAGTATTCAAGATCTGAAAATCGTAGTGCACCTGCCAAGATCGACAAATGGCCATCCCATTCATATTGCCGTCCGACGACGAAGCGGAGGTCCAGGGACAGGACCTGGAGCAACTGATGCTCGCTCTGTACGCCGCTCTGCAACAGGTCCTCCGAAACAGGAACGACCAGCATCCGTCACGAAATCGTGAGTTGAACGATTTATTAAAATTGGTTTGCATCTTTCTTAAGATTTTCCTACGCGTTCTTGTACAAATGTCGAACTATCCAGCGCAATGAACAACATGTTGCGTTTATTGCATCAACTTTAGTTTATCTTTTGATAGAAAGGGACGAACAATCGACTACCGTACTTTACGTGGTCATGTGGCTCGTTGACACGTGCTACGGCCGCGTCTTTCTTGTTCTTTCCACTTGGTCCCGGTCTCATGGCTAGGATGTATCCATTTATCCATTGGATAGATCCAGTCTTACCACGATATCCTTCCGACGGCTTTTCAGAAAGATGCATTCGAAGACCAATTCGAAGGGCGACCAAATAGAGGCAATTGCATGAGAAAATGACAATACCGTCCACGAGACGTTTTCCGACCGTCTACGGGGACTGGTGGATCTAGTCGAGAGAATATAAAAAGAAGTGTAGACACTCGAAAAAAGTTAAGCAAAATGCAAAAAAAAAAAAATATTAAAATGCTTAACGTAATTCTTGTTATGTAGATCAATTTTAAAAGTTATTCGCAATATCGCAGCTATTGCTGCGACGCGAAGGATTTATAAATTCAGTCATTGTTGTTTTTTGAACAGATGCTGTGAATTTTTGATACCTATATATAACATATATGACACAAATGATCTTTATCTGACATTGTGTAATTGATCTTTGTTATTTTCTTTGAAGCTATTTTTTTTACCTTATTTATTTATTTATTTATTTATTGAAAAATGTATGTTCCCTTTTCCTTGCATTATTGATGATTTTGTAAACACCGATTGAAAATTGTTACTTTTTAATAAACTCTGAATACGTTGAGATTTATAATACGTGCGACGCAATTAATTTCCACTTCTCACACGCTGCAGCCGCGGGTATATACACTCGAGAGTAGGACAGCACGCTGCATATCCACTAGAAATGCAACACGTGGTTGTCGCGCGGTACAACGCGGATAACTTTCGAGTGGAACAACGCGACTCTGCAGCCAATTTCCTTTTCAAACCTGAAAGATACTTTTAGAATCATGTTTTTCATCGAGTTCCTATAAAAAAATCATAGATCATTCAAAAATTCTCGCTTCATATTCATTTCACACACAAAGTTATCCGAAATGCTTTTCTTCGATATTTTATACACAAGTAGGAGCATGAGTATGTCACCGAATTCCAATGTTAGTTTTTTTTATCGATCCTCAGGGAAAAGAGAGAAAGTGGGTTATGTGGGCGTTTAGTAAAATATTTCGGTGGTTGTAACTTCTGATTGCAACAAAATATACTCGAGTTGCGACAAAAAATTACAAAATGTCAACTTTTTCAGTGATATATATCTTTGTTCGTTATTTTAAGTATCGCTTGTTCCCTAAAACATGTACTGATCAATCTTCAATTCTCGTTCTGTTTCGTCATTGACAGCAAAAAGACATAGAATTAAGTAGTCTGTTTCAATATACATAGCATTAATAACAGTAAAAATCGAATATATTTTCCGTGCACATTATGCTATAATAGTTTGCTCTTATTAAAAATTAAGCGTCAAATATATAAATTATGGTTTCACAGGTTCGATATATAAATTCTCTGCCAACAAAGAATTACTTCTTAATCAATTTCCAGATGTAAAAAAACGATTAATCGCTATTGAAGGTGCAACAAATTCGTCAAAATTAAGGCGTAGGATATAGGGAAGTTCGCTTTGTATTATTTAGTAGGACTCACGACGCACGCGAACGTTCGTAAAGTCGCGGAGCGATCGTCGTTTCGTCCAGGTCGTTGACTCGCGTCGGCTGTTGCACGATTTGTCGAAAATTCTGATACATTTGACAGCGGTCGTTGTCCCATGAGTCAGCGTCGAAAAATTTCGGTCCATCGCGATGGTTGCGAGATATCCCGACACCTTTTGCCGTGATTTCGCGGACGTTCGAGAGAAAAAGGACACGTAGGTTGTGAAACGCGCGTGTCATCGCGTGATTTACATTTGCCCGTCCTTTCGCGTGATTAATTTGATTTCAGTTTCAATGTCTTCTTAGGTCCTTGATCCTTGATGCTCTGACGCTTTTTCCCAGAATTTTTAGTAATTTATATTTGCTGTTACATTCGCGCTCGCTTTAAATAACATTGTTCAGTAGTGTTTTCTTTGCTTGGAACTAATTACAACTAACGAAAGCTTAGCAATGACGCTATTCAGTAAGACGATCGTAGATTCATGATTTTTATTTGTTCCAGTGGAATGATTAGAATGATAAAGGTAACTAAAAAATGTCATCCTTGTTCCCTCATGATTTTTAGTTGCGTGTATCGCGATCGACTCTTTGCAATTCGATAATTTTTATTATATGATCGATCAATAAATTTTAGTATACATTTTGCAGCGAAACTTTTTGAAAGCAGAAGTTTAGTTTCGGGAAGAAAACTTCCCTTCTCTGTCGTTTCATCGATGAAAATAAAATCGAATAAAAATTGCCTCAATATCATTGGCTGTAACGTCAATGTTGTAAAAAGGGTTAAACTTGTGGAAGGAAACTTTCAAACTGCAATCCGTCTAATCACAATTCTCGTACTCACCATCATGTGCACTTGCTTTCAACTTTGTCCATTAGTTTCTCAACTGTCTCTTCTCGATGCAATCCTTCTTCATTGTAACAATAACCAAGGAAATTTTGCTGGAACATACCACGCAAAAGACTGGCGCAGAGAGAAAACAGAAGATAAGAAGAGAGAGAAGGAGAGGAGCGAGCCAGAGGCGTAAATTGCGGTAACTTATATTCGGCGCATAATGAAACGCGGCTTTACGAGGGTGCAGCGAGCGAAAGGGGGCGAGTATAACAGATGTAGCGTGGGTGTAGAGGCGAGAGTATGGCAGACGATGTCCGGCCATGACCCTGCACCGCTGCTCGAGCCTCCTTTACGGCGAAAGAGACGGCGCGGTCGCTCGGATCGACAGGAGAGTAGGAGGAAAGAGACAGAGAGGAGGAGCGAGGAGAAAAGACCGATGGTCAGGCACACACCGGAGTAAAACGCGCCATAAAACGCGATGCAACGGCTCGTTCCCCGAATCTCGGATGTCGATCGTCCACCAGAGATTGCAGTATCGAACCGTGAACCGTGCCGCGACGATTGCTCGACGAGTGCCTCGATATCGTATCTTACACGCTTTCAAATAGTACGTATGTATATGGTGTATGGTCAATTCTGAAGAAGTTCATCAACCATGAAATAATTTTTACGATAAATTTTGAGGTGACTTTTTGAGTAATTTAATGGAAATTTGTTGAACCTTGAAAGTTATTTACGATTAAGTAGTCTTATGAAATTTGTTTTTCTTTCTTCCTTTTTCTTTTTATTTTAATACTACAGTAGATGTTTTGCGGATTATTTATCGATTGCTCGTTTTGAAGTAGCGTTAATAGCTATAAATGTAGTTTTATTCAGAGAGCGAAAAAAGTGTCGTCAGACTGCCAATTAGTTGAGACAGACTTTAGTTTTAAATTAGTTCAGAATTACTTGCGTAGCGACCGTAATTTTATAAACCACCTATAAAATGCTTATGATCGAGGGTCAATGCACCCTGCTCGCTCGAAATGCGCGATTAACCGCGAGGAAACGTCGTCAGATAGCATTCTGAATCCATTTTGCCGCAGTTTCACGGCAATACGTCGCTAACGAGCCTTTGATCTCGCCGAGCAGCGCATGGAAGTGTCCCGAAAGAAACCACAAATTGCATCCGGCCGTTGCAAGTGTGTTACTATTGTTTTGGAGTGACGCAACATTCCTTGAAAATATCACGCTCCTCAAAACAATTTACGTATGTATTTTTCCAGTGATCACGAATCCTCCCCACTGATTTGAGACATTTTTTTTTCTTTTATCGATCTCCCAAAGATATAATATTATATGTAATATCAACCCTCTCGGACTCGATAAAGACGTTCTATACTACCAAAAGCCAAGAGAAAATTAGATGAAAATTGAGAAGAATCCTTGTTAGAAAAATTGAATTACGCGTCTGTTCATTATTTTTCAAACGAAAATAGATGGCGTACGGTGTATGTGCGAGGGTCAATAACCATAGTTTGCCAGCGTGGTTTCGAGAGAAGATGCAGAATCTGGCGGACCGCGAGCGCGCCGTTGCATCGAGTCGGGGTTGGTTATTTATAGAAACAGCTGTGGCCAGCCCCGTTCCGAGTCTTCTCCCGTGACATTTGCAGAAAACTTCCACCTCGTCATCGTGCTCGCGTAAACGCGACCACGGTAATAACGATTACGCCGCGTTACCCGATCACGCTCGCTTCTTTTTTCTTCCGCCTATCCGTTTTCACTCTCGTTCTCGGCGATTCGTTTTGCTTGTCTTATTGTTGTCGACGTTACGTTTCAACGTTACGGATAACCCCTTCGCTAATGTTTTCGCTGCGAACCATGACGCCCGCGCCCCTTTCCCATCGCGCGAACCGATAAGAGAATCGAACTGTCCATGCCCCGCGATTCCGCTCTAATCGGAGGCGTTTAATTTCTCGGTAAGAGAAAGATCGGATATCGTCCGTAAAACGATAACCCTTCGACACTGAACTTCGTATTATGTTACATTGTCGTAAAGCCTGCGCTCGTATCGGTGCACTGAATTTCACAGTGAACTCGCCGTCCTCCCGGAAGACCAGTAGAATTCGCCCTTTCTTTTTCAAACTGCTAGCTTGCTCTTTTTTTTTTAACTTTGTATATTAACATATTTATGATGGGTAATTTTATACAATTATGTAATAATTCTAGGGACTAGAATTTGAAATGTTCGATTTTGAATACGTAATAATTGATCATTGAAATTGATGTAAGACGTTCTGCTTCTCTTAGAGACAACTGACAATTACCGGTAATTATCGATATTTTATCCACATCGCCGATTTCGCTAATTTTTTGAATATGTTGTCGGAGACATGATTCTGAGCAACTTTTTCCTATACATATAACCGCCACTCGGCCTTA